CTATTCTGAACTAGCTGTACTCCTTGTGGAATGAGGAGTACAGCTAGTTCGGAATAGGAAGCCTAATCCAAACTAGCTACTCCGTGCCGCGTGTAGCCGCGCGGCACGGGGTTCGAACTAGCCGAGATTTAAAAATGGCGGCGCCCGGTTTATGCAAATGAAGCCCGGGAAATTCAAATCCCGGGCTTCATTTGCAAGTGCGGTATGCCTACATTACCCCCCTAGTTCGAACTAGCGGGGTAGTGTAGACATACCCTTAGAGAGTTTGTGTAGCTGTCTGTCCATGAGTCCGTCCGTCCGTGAGTCTGTTTGTTCAAGGACTCCTAAATGATAAGCTCAAGGACCACCACATTTGAGAAGCAGCTTCCTCTTATCCTACCTTAAAGCCCGGTCGGGCTGGTTGTGCCAGAAAAACAGGAAGTGCCTGGAATGGGATTGTTTTCCGTAATCCGGAGAAGGAGAGGTCAGAGAGCAGGGTCACGTATGCTCTGCAATGACCACTGGAGGACAGTTATATTGCAGCGTGACCACAGGGGGTGGCCACACCACGAAGGGAAGGGCCAGCTGGGGCTGGAGCTTTCCATATTGCCAGCCACTGGACACAGGTGGCTTCCTCTTCCTCAGACCGCTCCTCTCCGTCCCTTGGCCGCAGCACTGGACAGGGGGAGCCCTTCCAGCCAGGGGCCCTGCCACTGTGGCCCCTCCTGAGGAGATGCAGACCAGGGACCCACATCACGGCCCCGCAGGAGACATAGGCAGGGGCCAGGCAGCACAGCCCTCCCCCAGAAGAGACACAGGCCAGGGCCAGCCACCCCGTACTCCTCGTACAATGAGGTTTACAGGGACAGTGAAACAGCGTGTCCACTAGATTTTGACATAGCAGACGTATTCAGAAGATACGGGGTAGCTATTTCCAGTTACCTCTGCTATCCTGAAATACCTTTGTTGTGTAGATGTACCCGAGCAGACCAGCCACCATTGCTCCAGGATCAAAACTACACAGAAAGGTTACCAGATGCACCGGTGTTCATCCCAGCACGCTCCCTGCAGAACCTCCCTTCTCCCAGGCGCGGGATATGGAAAGTTTAAACAAACTCTTGGCGCCGTCGCTATTCACTGGGACAGGAATCTCTCATGGATTTGCGTAGGGTTCGACATTTCTGCCTCTCTCCATTAACCCACAAAGATCTCCCCAAATGTGGACAGACAAGAGAGTCACCAAAATGGCCCTTCTGTCTTGGAGTGACAGTAAGTTGCACAGGAGAGTATAGAAATTGAAACTTAAAGCAGCTAAGCTGGTGCAGTTCTAGTTCTAGTCAAACAAGGCAGCTACCTACGGGGACAGACATGTGGGCAGCTGCTTAAAGCAGCAGATTAGGCCTGGCTGCCCCTCTGTCGTTACTGAAGGATTGAGTAGCCAGGCAAAATGTGAGAGGGGAGAGGTGTGGCAGGCTCAGCTTTTGCCTATGGTGGCTTGAGCAGTCTCTGAAGGTAAGGATCATAGAAGCGTAGCACACTAGAACTGGAAGGGCCCTTGAGAGGTCATCGAGTCCAGTCCCCTGCCCTGACGGCAGGACCAAGCACCGTCTAGATCATCCCTGTCCGAGACCAAGCACCGTCTATATCATCCCTGACCAGTGTCTGTCCGACCTGCTCTGAAATATCTCCAGGGATGGAGATTCCACAACCTCCCTAGGCAACTTATTCCAGTGTTTAGCTACGCTGATCAATTTATTCCAGTGTTTAACTACGCTGATAGGTAACTTCTTTTGCTGCAGTTTCAGCCCATTGCTTCTTGTCCTGTCCTCAGCGGCCAAGGAGAACAATTTTTCTCCCTCCTCTTTGTAACACCCTTTTAGATACTTGAGTACTGCTCTCATGTCCCCTCTCAGTCTTCTCTTGCCCAAACTAAACAAACTCATTTCTTTCAGTCTTCCCCCATAGCTCATGTTCTCTAGACCTTTCATTATTTTTGTTGCTCTTCTCTGGACCCTCTCCAATTTCTCCACATCTTTTTTGAACTGTGGTGCCCAGAACTAGACACAATCCTCCAACTGAGGCCTGCTCAGCGCAGAGCAGAGTGGAAGAATGACTCCTCGTGTCTGGCTCTCAACACTCCTGTTAATACCACCCAGAATCAGGTTTGCTTTTTTTGCAGCAGTGTCACACTGTTGACTCATATTTAGCTTGTGATCCACTCTGACCCCTAGATCCCTCTCCGCAGAACTTCTTCCTAGACAGTCGCTTCCCGTTCTGTGTGTGACACCGATTGTTCCTTCCTCAGTGGAGCACTTTGCATTTGTTCTTATTAAACTTCATCCCATTGACCTCAGACCATTTCTCAGTTTGAATTCTGACCCTCTCCTCCAAAGCACTTGCAACCCTTCCCAGCTTGGCATCATCTGCAAACTTAATCAGGATTCTTGTGAGGTGTCCTATAGAAAGATGGATATGTAAAGAGCTACAATACATCTTTCACTCCAAATCAGAAACTCTACATGTGTCTGTCTTACGAAACAGATATGTGTCTCTATGGGTAAATATTGGGTCTTTTTTCCTTCAGTAGGATGCTGTTTCTCTATTTTAAGCCCTGAAAGATGGGAAATGAAAGGTATTAGAAATCAAAGAATTTTCAGACTTTAAATTTAGAAGAACTATGCAGGATTTTTTAACGTATTGTTGCACTGTTAAAGTGACAAGAATTGTATGCTCTTAAGAAGGGGGGAGGGAGAGCGAGCTCAGTGGTTTGTACATTGGCTTGCTAAACCCATGGTTGTGAGTTCAATTCTTACGGACACCATTTAGGGATTTGAGGCAAAAATTTGTCAGGGATGGTATTTGGTTTTCCTGTGAAGGCAGGGGACTCACTCGATGACCTTGGTCCCTTCCAGTTCTAGGAGATAGGCAAGCTCTATTAATTTAAGAAGGAACAGGATTATTCAAAGGTATAAGCATCTAACCTATATACAGTGTTAAAATACAAAAAGCCATTGCTTAAAGGGGAAATGAACAGCAGTGGTTAAAAGGAATGCAGTTCTAGAAATGGAGACAACATATAAAGTCTGCAGTAAGAAAGAGATCAAAGAAATGTGACACCGCTGCTCTCTACTGGACATGGGCAGAAGCAGCAGGGAAACTGAATGCTGAAATCTGACAAGTGCCCAAGAGAAATAGGTCAGGTGGGTGCTCTAGAGCAGACCTTATAGGATTCCCCTGCTGAAGTCACTGTCAAACCAGCTCCTACGAGTTGACAGCAATTGCTTTTATAATGTGTCCTGCGATGCTGCCGAGAGGTCAACACCTGCCTGACGGACATTACACAAGGCAGAGAAGCAGCAATAAAAGGGCGTTAACAAGGAGGAGGGAGAAAAATTGTTCTCCTTGGCCTCTGAAGACAGGACAAGAAGCAATGGGCTTAAACTGCAGCAAGGGAGGTTTAGGTTGGTTATAAGGAAAAACTTCCTTACATATAAGAACATAACATAAGAACGGCCGTACTGGGTCAGACCAAAGGTCCATCT